AAAGTCCTGGTGTGGCGCTGCAGGATAAGCACTGGACTGCTATCCAAAAGTTTGATGGTTCAAACCCACCAGCCATTACTTGGAAACCTTAAACGCATAAGGTCGCTATGGGTTGGAACTGATTCAAAAGCACCACCACCAAAGTCCTGTCAGGAGACACAACCACACAAGCAGATTTCTTTTTAAGAATTCTCCAAAGTTAGAGAATGCTCACTAAAGATGTTATTGCTGCCTAATTTTAACATAAAAAATGGTGAGGAGTTCATGTGTATAGGGTATCAGTAGCAATTTTACAATTTATGGCATGCATTCTATTTCTGGCATGTTAAAATAGGGTCATTTTTTTCAAATTGTAATAAAACTTTGCTTCGAGTGAAGTACATCAGCATTCGGGGTATTCACTAAATATCTCTGGTAGCATAGTGGATTATGAGTTGTGCTGCTAACCAGGAGGTCAGCAATTCAAATCTGCCAGTCGCTCTGCAAAAAAGATGAGGCTTTTTGTTCCTGCATAGATTTACAGCTTTGGAAATCCTATACAAAGTCACTATGAGATGGAACCGACTCCATGACACACAACCACCACCTGCTTTGGTGTGTTCAGAAGATTTCCACTGCTGTTTAAGTGACTTTATCTTTGTGAAAATGTATGGTTAGAAGTATAATTACAGAACATAAGAGCTCACACTTGAAGAATATGGCTTAAGAGGCAGTGTAGCTAGATTTAAAAATCGATTCTTATCACTTATTAACCTCTGATTTCGAACAAATCACTTAACTGATTCAGGATGGATGCTTTTTCATGAAATGGGGATAGTACCAATGGGCTGAAAATCCCTTCAAACTCTAAGATCCGATATTCTTAATCAGAAGATAATGGAATCCTTCCATGAACTTTCTGAAGCCCTCTCAGATACATCCAGCACAAAGTACTTAACTAAATCAAACTTTGTAGACGGTTGTTGGCCTATTGTGTGACCATACCTTCCATTCAACTACACAAAAATATAAAGTATTCATAATCATAGACAAAGGATGAAGGGACCTTAAAATTATCTTTTTCAATCTCTCCTTTTACTTCTTCCCATGGATGCTGGATTGCCTTCTAACACATCTGATGCATCCGTAATACAGGTCAAGATAAAAACACATACACAAAAGCCAGCTCTGTTGAATATGCTTAATACCAAACCATGAAAGATGTTAATTCTAAAACAGTAAAATCTTCAAATCATAGCAGAAAGGAGAAATTTCTGAAGTCTTACCTCAAGATTTACCATAACAAAATTATGGGAAAGTTCTGAAATTTCTGTAGATTCTGCAAATTTGGGCTTTAAAGCTATGGAAAAAAAAAAAAAAGATTTCAGATTTAAAGAAAAATTCTTGTCATATCTAAAGCCAAATGAATATGTGTGTTGATTCACATAACTGACCTTTTTTTATTTTTTTAACTGTAAGAACTAGAAATCAGAAGACTTTTTGATTCTGATTCTGCTGTTTATTCACATAATGTGACCTTTACTAATTTACTTCAGCTTTTACCTCATTTATAAAATAAGGATAACAGCATACAAATGGGGGAAAAAATACCATTTGCCTTCTATAAATACAACTCAGTAGCTTCAACTGAGTTGAAGTTCAAGAGGTTTTAATATATTTACCAACACAGAAAAGTAAGAACTAAGGAGGAAGTCCTAGCAATGAATAAAATGCGTAATTTCAATGCCTGTGCATTTCCAGTAAAATCTTTTGGAAACCTAGCTGCTTGCTCTATCCAGTTAAGATGAAGTAATATGCCCTACAGGTGAGCTAACATATTAATAAATGAGTTGTTAAGTTGATTCCAATTTGTGGTGACTTCATGTGTCTTACGAGTAGAACTGTGCTCCCTAGCTTTTCAATGCTGAATTTTCTTTCTTCTGGGTACATGTGGGTAATGTAAACTACCAACCTTTGATTAGCAGCTGAGTACATTTACTGTCCAGGAGTTCTGGTAGCATAGTGGTTGTGAATCGGGCTGCTAATCTTAGGGTCTGCAGTTCAAAACTACCAGTGGTTGCGTGGGAAAAAGACGAAGCTTTCTGCTCCTATAAAGATTTACAGCCTCAGAAACCCTATGCAGGATCACTGAGTTGAAACCGACTACTCAGCACATAACCACCACCACCAGCTTCAAAAGAATAGACTTAACAATACTCTTTCACTAATGCAATGTTCACATACACATGACACTATTTATTTACACTAATTTTACAAGCATATCAACAACGTGGCTGGAAATTGGCAGGTGATCCTGGTGTGGCACTGTGGGATAATGCACTGGACCGCAAGGAGAGTTTAAGCCACAAAGTCAGTAGTTCAAATTCACCAGCCACTCCTTGGAAACCCTGTACAGGGTCGTTATGAGTCGAAACCAACTCGACAGTAGTTAACAATAGCAGAAAGAAGGGTGTGTGATGGCTCCACATAGAATAAGAACTGGACTATGACCGGCAGTTCAAACCGTGGATATCCTATATAAGGTCGCTATGAATCAGAATGGACTCAATGGCACTTAAAAATAACATAGCAGAAAAGAAAGGAACTCTGGTAATAGTTCAGGCTAAGCACTAGACTGCTAAACACATGGGTTAGCAGTTCAAACCCACCAGTCATGGAAGTCCTACAGAGGGGTCGCTATAACTCACTGGCATTGGGTAATTTTTTGGTGTAGCAGAAAGAACACATGCTCCAGATTCAGATAAACCTTGGTGTCTTATCTAGTTTCCACCTCCTCTGGGAAGACTTCCCTAACCACTTCTCATTTCTGTCTCTATACGTTTTCAACTTCATTTAATATTTATTGTCCACACATATATTTTAACACTTAGTCTCAATACTCTATATGTAACTATACCTTAATCATTTCACCCTATGACCCCTTGCAAGGAGCTCTGGTAGCGTAGTGGTTACGAATAGGGCTGCAAACCTTGAAGTCAGCAGTTCGAAACTACCAGTTGTTCCACGGGAGAAAGATGAGGCCTTTCTGTTCCCGTAAAGATTTACAGCCTTGGAAACTCTGTGCAGGGTCACTATGACTCGGAACTGACTCCACGGCACATAACCACCACCACCGCCACAATGACCCCTTGCAAATAAAATTGCCAAGTTTTTGAGGGCAGAAAATCTATGTCACTATTTGTACCAATCAACAGTGCTGGGTCAATCAAGGCCAATGTTTGTTAAATCTTAGTATTTGAGAACACACCTGAGGCTCGATTTCAGATGAAGCACTTGTACATACCTTTGCAAGCTCCACACCAGGATTTATGGATAATCACCATCAGAGGCAAGCCACTTGAAAACAAAATTAAAAAATTATAATTCTGTTTCTTAGTCTCATCTAATAAAATCACTATACCACAAAGATTTACACACATGTTCATGTAATAGGACTTCAATTGGGAAGATCTTTAGACAACCCAAATATTCAAGAACTGACTAGTCCCATAATAAAATAAACGGTGAGTTCGGAAATTTCTGTAATCTGCAAAGTTGGGATTCTCCCGGCCAAGCTAGGGTTAAAGACTGAGGGATAAAAGAAAACATCATAGTAGTTCTAAAAATTATGGTCATGTAATCATTGAAAATATTTAACAACTTTTACAGATGTAATAAATCAAACACTTTAATATGAAATCATTACCTATAGTCTTTGTTTTCATTATACAAATATATACCGAGAAAAAGAGTCTAAAAGAAAATGTACCAAAACATCACAGTTTCTCCAATGGTGGGATTATGGATTTTTGTCTGTTTTTTTTTTGTTTTTTTTTTCCTGTTTTCTAGAATTTTCATTATCACAGAGAACAGTATTTTGGGTTTTCTTAAATAAGCAGTATAACCCACCTAAACCAGTCTTAGCTAGATGAAGCTCTTAAACCCTTAAGGCTCAAATACCAGGACCCTTTGTAGGAAGCCACTGGTTCTCTCCATCACACAACTCCTGTATCACCATACCCAAACCCCACACCACAGCTATCAACAAAATTACCATAGTAAATTAGCTTTTACCTACTTTTCCAACTTGACTTGGAGCTTCCGAAGGGAAGGAACTCTTAGTTGCCCTGATGGCACAGGGGATTATGCGTTGGATCAGCGGTTCGAATCGATCTTTGCTCTTACAGATTTGTGTTGTTTGTTAAGTGCCAGTGAGTCTGTTCTGACTCATAGGGACCCTGTATTGGGTTTACAAGGTGCAGTTGACGGGTTTGAACCTTGAAGTTAGCAGTCCAGTGCTTAGCTACAGAACCACATCAGGATTCGTTAAAAAAGACAACCTAGGAAACCCTATAAAGGGTTTGCTGAGTTGGAACTGACTTGACAGCATACAACATATGCCATATATGTGACATGTAGAATAATATTGCTAGCATAAACTGTTAATAGTACTTAGTGTGCCATGGACTAATCTAAATTATACACATAAGTTAACTCTGCTGTGAGGCCTTCCCCAAACCACTTTGTCTAAGCAGCTAATTGGTCCTTTCTCCTTCTAAGCTCTCAAAGCAGTCATCACCCTCCAACCACCAGCCCTTTTCACCCTAAATCATGTGGTTGTGTTTCTCTCCAAAGTAATAACTTCTCAAGTCACAAGACAAAATTAAGTGCATCTTTGCTTATCACAGACACTGGTAAATAGTAAGTAATGAAGTACAATGCAAAAGTTGCCATAATAAAATCACTCTGAATTAAATAGACCAAACCATTTAGTCTCTCACTGAATACTGACAAACGACTCTTCAGACAATGGCATAACCCTGATATATGAGGGAGTCTCAAAAAATTGTAGAAACATTCCAGTATCTTTTAGTTCAATTTTTCCATGGCCTTTTTGAAGTCCTCACCTCCTCATAAAAAAGTAGCACATGAAACTTTGGCAAGTTTAACCATTAGTAGTTTATATTATGTGTGTGTATGTATATAAATATATATGTAGTTGTAAATAAAAAAACAGCAGACTTTTTTTTTTAAGAGTTTATTGAGAAAATACAGGTATCTCCCACTTCTTGAAATTTCATTTTGCCACTTTGCTTTTAGGAAAGAACTACATTAGTACATACTTTATCTAATCAAAAAGTATCTGAAGAGGGTTTTTGCTTTTATGAAAAAAGACAAAAGTAAAATTAGCATTCTGCATTTGTTCTGCAGCGAGTCGTGTGACAGCAGCACACACTCATGAGCAAGAGTGGCATCACCAAGCTCCTTCTGTAGCAACTACACATAGCACCTCAGCAATGACACCATAGCTTTGAAATGTGTCTGTGAACACGATGAGCCTTCTTTTAGGTTTGGTGTGCTATTTTTAACATGATTTGCTAAGTCATTTTTGGGATCTGGGAATGTACAAAAAAACTCCCAATAAATTAGTGGCAATTGCTTCTTTGCTTTATGCTATTTCAGTTATGAAAGGTTTCATAGGAACACTCTTACTTTCAGATGGAGGCAGGGCTGCCCAAGGAAAACCTGTTATCTAGTTGATAAGTCTTTCACCTCCACTTGATGTAGAATCTCAAGGGCAGAAATCAATGAATTCACCTGTGACCCCAGTTCCCAAGACCGAGTAGCACAAGTTGGTACAATACTCAATATTAATTTTTGTGACATCAAAGGGTCTGTGCAGATGCAGGACGGTGCTTCCTCACTGTTTCTGTTCACAACTGTTTCTAAAAAGGCATCCATCCAATCTAGTGTCCCATAATTCAGAAACGGGATAATCAACGATGAGATTTCCCACGTAGCACCCAATCTAAGCAAACTCCGTTGTCTTGGAGAATTTGTCAGGATTCTCCCAGGTAGTTCTCCAATTTTCTCTTCTCAATTTGTGACATACACTCAAGGCCTGACAGAGTATGGAAAACGTTTGAGTGAGTCAAACATAATATAGGCTCTAGCATCATACAGATCTTCAGAGAAATCGAAAGCAGTGGAAAGTTACACATGAGCCACATTTTCCCCCTTACAGCCTCTGGTTAGTGCAGGCTTTGGCTTAGGTACTGCAGGAACATGTTGGCTAGTTGAGGCAAGTTCTCATTGTTAGGGTGCATTTTCGTGTAGGAAATAAACTGGCGTCGGAGTCGGCTCAGTTCTGCCATGGTAAGGGGCCGCGTAAACCTCAGGCGCTCCGTGATGCCAGGAAGCCTTAGTAAATCTCCAGGGACTGCACTCTTCTGCGCTTCCATCAGCCCGGCCAACACCTGGCTCGTGACCTGGTCTAATTGATGCAGAAAGCTGCCGGAGGCAAGAGGCTGAGATTGGGTGGCTTGATGTGGTGGAGGAGCCCGGTTCTCAAACAGGGCAGCCCGGATCTCCGCCAGTGGCAATGGCTCTTCTAAACCCACCAAGGTGAAAAGGGGCCGGTCCCAGCGGTTCCGAGAGTCCGGAGCCTCGAAACGCAGCGTCAGGGCCTCCAGAAGTTCGGAAGGATAAAAGGACCCTACCGTAGGCGCAGATTTCTCGGATTCTGTAGTCACGAAACCTGGAGAATTTGGTGCCCTGATTTCCTCCAGTTCCACTTCCCTATGTACTTCTGAGCCCGCTGTTGCAAGTTCTCGACCGACACAGGTGCCCGCCACCGGAGGTCTCCCGCCCTGCTCAGCACGCGGTTGCCAACTCATAGTGACTTTCCGATCTCCGTTCTCCGTGCCCGCCACCTGCGGTCCCTCGCTAAGACTGCAGGGCCGCACGCAGTAGACCAAGCAGAGAGGGGTGCGTGCCGCCCGGGCCAGACAGTAGAGCTCGTAGCGGAAACCCTTGATGTAGTTAAGAGAATCCAGGATGACCACGTCTTGCCTACTCAAATGCCGCTCCACCGCGGCTCGCAGCGCTCCGCGCAGTGCCTTCTCACGGGCCGAGTCGCCATACACGGTGGCATCCTCCGCACCCAGCACTGCTGCATCGTCCACTACGTACACAGCTCGGCCCTCGGCCGTCAGCGCCCTGCGAAGTTCCTCCACGCGCCGGCTCTTGCCGCTGTACGGTAGCCCGCAAAACACTACTAGAGGCATTCTCTCAGGGGGCGGCCATGTGCGACCACGTCAACTTCCGGGTTGTTTGTATATCCGGAAAAACCGGAAGTGTAGCCTGCACTTCCTGTCTCGCTTTACTTCTTTACGGGGCGTTTTGTAGTTATGGAAACAGTTACCATCCTAACTGGGGCCACTAGTTGTTAAGTGCTTCAGAAGCAGTTCTGATTCAAGCGACCCTGTATAGCGTGGGCTGGTGAGCTTCAACAGCCGACCTTGAGGTGAAAACCGACCTTGCAATCCAGCGCATTACGAGCTGGGTTGTTTAACCCAACATCAGTACTTCAAAGCTACCAGTCTCTCCGCGGGAGAAAGAGATTTTCTGCTCCCTTAAATATTTACAGCCTTGGAAACCCTTACAGGGTCGCTATGAGTCAGAACAGACTTGGGGGGGGGCACACAACCACCACCAGGGCCAAGTCCAGCATCCTTAGAAAGGTCCTGCACTCCACTTTGTGCAGCATTTATTTATGTCAACTATTAGTAGTCCGACTCGATGGCACCTGACAACGACTTGACATTAGTAGTCCAGGAGATTGTAATCACCTTGTGGCCAAACTCCAAAAATTAACATAAAACTATCCCGCTAGGTGATCAATAATCTAAATGGGAAGAGTCAAGCACCTACAATGAGAGCAGGATAATGCACTGGACCTCAAGGCTGGTTTGAACTGCAAGGTCGGTGGTTCAAACTCACCAAATGCTTTTCAGAAACCTTATGGTGGTGGTGGGGTGCCGTGAAGTTGATTCTGACTCACAGCGACCCTGCATAAGGTTTCTCTGAGGATATGAATCTTTATGGGAGCAGAATGCCTCATCTTTCTCCAGCGGAAAGGCTGTTAGTTTTGAACGGCTGACCTTGAGGTTATTAGCAGCCCGACTCGTAACCACTAAAGGGTCGCTATGAATCGGAACCAACTCCATGGCACTTAATAACAACAACAGTGGGTAAAAGTACAGAAAAACATTAACTGCTTATTGAAATCCAGGTACACTAGTTTATTTAGAATTTGGAAAATACATAGGAATTTTCCTCTAAAAGTGCATGAAGTATACTATTAATAAAAAATATTGCATTGGGCATATTTAAACAATAAAATTATTTGTTCTTTATCTGAAATTCGAATTTAACTGGGCATCTTTTATTTTATTTATTTGCTAAATAAATCTGGCAACCCTACTCCTGGGGGAAATGTAAGATCAGAAGTCATGAAACTAGGATTTGTTCTAGGAGCAGCAAGTAGAATTGTCTGGTAAATAAAAAAGTATTCGTCCTTCTGTGCAAGTATGTGTGTGTACAAGATAGGTGCACATGTTTTGAAGGTGGAGTAGGTCTTTGTATCTTTCCAGTACAGTATACTAGATAGTATTCAACCTGTGGGCTCTGCTATTTACTAGCTGTATAACTATGGGCAAGTTATTTAATTTTCTGTGCCTCAATTTCCTCTTCTGTAGAATGATATCATTAGTTCTTGCATCCCAGGCAGTACCAACTTTATAGGTTATTGTAAAGATTGTTATTTTTGTTTGCCTTCGAATAGATTCTAACTCATAATGACCCTATATGACACAGTAGATCTGCTCCATATGGTTTCTTAGGATGTAACCTTTATGAAGATCAACAGAATGTTGTTCAAATAGAACAAGGGAATACTGAATAGGAGGAAATCAGGAAATGTGTGTATCAGGGTTGTATCATTTCACCATCCAATATTTGAACTGTATTCTGGACTATATGAAGAACATGGCATCTGGATTGGTAGAAGATTTAACAACCTGCAATATGCAAACGACACAACTTTGCTGAAAGTGAAGAGGACTTGAAACACTTGCTGATGAAGATTAAAGATTTACAGCTGTCAGTATGAATTATAACTCAAAATAAAGAAATAAAAATCTTCACAACTGGGCCAATAAGCAATATCATCATAAGTGGAGGAAAGAATGAAGTTGTCAAGGATTTCATATTACTTGTATCTACAATAAACACCTGTGGTTTTTTTGTCAAGAAATTAAAGGACATATTGCATTGGTCAAATATGTTGCAAAAGACCTATACAAAATGTTAAAAAGCAAAGATGCCACTTTGAGGACTAAGATGTACCTGACTCAAATCATGGTTATTTTCACTGCCTCGTATACATGCAAAAGCTGGACAATTAATTAGGAAAATCCAAGAATTAATACCTTTGGATTATAATGTTGGCAAAGAATACTGAAAATATCATGGACTGGCAGAAGGACAAACAAAGCTATCTTAGAAGAAGTATAGCCAGACATTCCTTAGAAACGAAGATGGCTTTTGACATGGTATCAGAACCGACCAGTCCCTGGAAAAGATATCATGCTTGGTAAAGCCAAAGATCACTGAAAAAGAGGAAGATCCTTTACAAGATGGATTGACACAGTGGCTGCAACAATGGGCTCAAACATAAGGAAGATTGTGAGAATAGCACAGGAATAGTGTTTCATTCTATTGTACATAGGGCTGCTACAAGTCATAACCAATGAAATGGTTATGACTAACAACAATAATAATCTTTATGGGAGCAGATTGACAAGTCTTTTTTCCCCATACAACCGCTAATGCGTTCGAACCACCAACCTTTTGATTAGCAGCTGAGCAATTAGCTGCTGTGCCACCACTAGGACACCTATTGCAAGAATTAACTGAGTTAATACATGTAAAGTAATTAAACCTATAATAAGGATTCAGTTACATGTTAGTCATTGTTATTATTATCATCACCACTATTGGTATAGTATTAGGGTATGTCCTAGTGCGGAGCTGTAGGATAAGCACTGTACTGCTAACTCCAAGGTTGGTGTTTCAAACCCAGAGTCACTGTGAGTTGGTACCAAATCAAAGGACTTAACAAAAACTAGTATAACCGAGCATAGTATCTTATAGTAAAAATAATAGAGTAAAGGTAATTAAAAACATTATACAGTAAACAAATTGTTATGTGCCATGGAGTCGTTTCCGACTCATAGTGACCCTGTACAGGGTTTCCGAGGCTGTAAATCTTTACGGGAGCAAAAAGCCTCATCTTTCTCCCGCAGAACAGCTGGTAGTTTCGAACTGATGACCCTGAGGTTAGCAGCCCGATTCGTAACCACTATGCTACAATAAATAGCTGTATTGAATTAAATTGTATGAATATTTATTTTAGAAGTCTGCCATAAGTCAACATCCTGATAGCGCTTTATACAAAGACTAGACAGAATATTGATGCAACCGCCTTCTAAAACAAACAGAAAAATTCACCCAAACCCATTTCACTTAAAACATTCAAACAACTATGATAGCAAATTACAGGTTAAGCAAAACACAAGGACTATGGAGATGTAAGGATATATAGTTTGATTCCCCACTCTCACCACCTGTATAACCATGAGCATATGACATCACTTATCTAATACTAATCTTCCTCAGCTGTAAAATGTAATTAACATACTGTTTTTGTTGTGAAGTGCCCTCAAGTCGGTTCCATCTCATAATGACCTAGATAGGGTTTCCAAGGAGCAGCTGGTGGGTTGAAACTGCCGACCTTGTGGACCACAGTCCAGTGGTGATCCTACAGTGGCACACCAGGAGGTCAGTTAACACATACTACACAGTAAATAGTATTAAATGAGATAATGCATGTAACTTACTTAGCACAGTGCCTGGCATATAAAAAGGGATCAGAAAAATAACTTTTGCTATTATTAACAATTCCAGAACACTAGAAATGTGTTTGTTTGCTTCTTCATCAGTTCTCAAGCCAAATTTGTGTAAGTTCTCTACTTAACAGTTAGTTTGGGACAGTAAAAGTCCTGAGCAGCCAAAGGCCTCAGATAACAAGACCTGGTCAATAAGAATCTTCATTAATTTTCACTGTTGCCCTATATTTTACTTTCATTTTCTCCTAAGAAATACACTGAAACAGAAAATCCCTCACTGCATCACAACCTAAATGTGCTGGAGGCTTCCGAGGTAGAGCAAGAAATTTGGAGAAGGCTGTGGGTTCAACGGATCTTGCCAGTTGATGACAATATATGCTCTCCTTTAAATATCCAAAGCACTTTACTGTTCCTGCTCCTGGGGCACAATATCAGTCTATCTTGATCATATACAATTATGTGCATGTCTCACATGAGTTGTTGTTGTTGTCAGGTGCCAT